GGCAGTGACTGCAATGGGGTATTGGGAGGGACACAATAACATGGGTGAATGACATTGTTTTTTCATGTGAAACCTTCATAATAGCATATATCAATAATGCCTTAATAAAAAAAAGAAAAAAGAATGTGTATCCTGCTGCTTTTGGATGGTGTGTTCTGTAGATGTCTGTTAGTTAGGTCCATCTGTTCTAATATGTTGTTCAGTGCCTCTGTCTCCTTACTTATTTTCTGTCTGGTTGATCTGTCCTTTGGAGTGAGTGGTGTGTTGAAGTCTCCTAAAATGAATGCATTGCATTCTATTTCCCCCTTTAATTCTGTTAGTATTGTTTCACATAAGTAGGTGATCCTGTTTTGGGTGCATAGATGATTATGTTATATCCTCTTGTTGGACTGACCCCTTTATCATTATGTAATGTCCTTCTTTGTCTCGTTACTTTCTTTGTTTTAAAGACTATTTTGTCTGATACAAGTACTGCAACTCCTTCATTTTTCTCCCTATTATTTGCATGAAATATCTTTTTTCATCCCTTTACTTTCAGTCTGTGTATGTCATTGGGTTTGAAGTGAGTCTCCTGTAAGCAGCATATAGACAGGTCTTGTTTTTTTATCCAGTCAGTGACTCTATGTCTTTTGATTGATGCATTCAGACCATTTACATTTAGGGTGATTATCGATAGATATGTAGTTATTGCCATTGCAGGCTTTAGATATGTGGTTACCAAAGGTTTAAAGGTAATTCCCTTACTATCTAACAGACTAATTTAACTCAGTATGGTATTACAAACACAACCTCAAGGTTCTTTTTTATTCTCTTCCTTTTTCTTCCTCCTCCATTTTTTATGTATTAGGTATCATATTCTGTACTATCTATCCCTTGACCAACTTTGGGGGTAGTTAATTTGATTTTGCATCTGTTTAGTACTTCATTTTTCTACTTTCTTTGCTGTGGTTCTATTTCCCCTTGTGATCGCTATTTAGCCTTAGGAATACTTCCATCTATAGCAGTCCCTCCAAATTATACTGCAGAGGTGGTTTGTGGGAGATAAATTATCTCAGCTTTTGCTATCTGAAAATGGTTTAATCCCTTCATCAAATGGAAATGATAATCTTGCCGGATAGAGTATTCTCGGTTCGAGGCCCTTCTGCTTCAATGCATTAAATATATCATGCCACTCGTTTCTGGCCTCTAAGGTTTCTGTTGAGAAGTCTGATGGATTTTCCTTTGTATGTGATCTTATTTCTCTCTCTGGCTGCTTTTAATAGTGTCCTTATCCTTGATCTTTGCCATTTTAATTATTATATGTCTTGGTGTTGTCCTCCTTGGGTCCCTTGTGTTGGGAGATCTGTGAACCTCCATGGCCTGAGAGACTATCTCCTTCCCCAGATTGGGAAAGTTTTCAGCAATTACTTCCTCAAAGACACTTTCTATCCCTTTTCCTCTCTCTTCTTCTTTTGGTAACCCTATAATGAGAATATTGTTCTATTTGGATTGGTCACACAGTTCTCTCAACATTCTTTCATTCTTAGAGATCCTTTTTTCTCTCTGTGCCTCAGCTTCTTTGTATTCCTCTTCTCTAATTTCTATTCTATTTAGCATCTCTTCTACTACATAGAAGCTGCTTTTTAAATCCCTTCATTATATGTTGCATTTCAGATATGGAATTTAATGATTCAATTTCTATCCTAAATTCATCCCTTTGTTCTTGAATATTTTTCTGTACCTCCATTAGCATGTTTGTGATTTTTATTTTGAACTCTCAGGAAGATTGGTGAGTTCAGTTTCATTTGGCCCTCTTTGTGGTGTTTGTGAGATTTTTGTTTGAACCAGGTTCCTTGGACGTTTCATATTTGTATGTGGCACCCTCTAGTGCCAGAAGCTCTAGTCTCTCGAGTCATGTCAGGGGTCGCAGGGTCATGTCGCTGGTGCTCAGGGGTGGAAAGAGCTGTTTCCTGCTTCCTGGCTATAGTGCCTATCTCCACTGTCAGAACTAGTCGGCCAAGCACACAGGTGTAAGCCTCTGTGCTTTGTGTCTGTAGCTGTTGCAGGCTGGGCCTCCCTTTGGCTGGCCTGACACCAGGGCAGGGACTGCTGGTTTGCGAGCTGGTGCTGGCAAGCCAGGAGGAATGCACAGCAGGCTGCATATCACAGTAGGGGGGGCGTTGGAGCTGAGGATCCAGCCAGAGGGATGGAGCACCTGAACTTACTCAAAAGTTCCCAACCTGCTGGGCAGAGCACGCTCGACAACACTGTCCACCTATCCCTTCTCCCGCGCAGCAAGCTCTGTGCAAACCCCGCCCCTTCAGCAGCCCTCCAGCTGCAAGGAAGCTTCTCAAACCGCCCACCTTTCCTTTGTCCCAGAGCAGCCGAATGTGGATCCCTGTCCTCCACAAATGGCTGCAATCTCAGTCTCTCCAAGTATTTCGCCTGTCTTAGCTTTCCAACACGACTTACCAGAGCACAATGCAATGTAGGTTTGTGCTCCCAAAGCAGATATCCAGGGCTTGGTGTTCAGTAGTCCTAGGCTTCCACCCCCTCCCCACTCTGTTTCTCTTCCTCCCGCCGGAGAGCTGGGGATAGCGAAGGGCTTGGGTGCCGCAGGATCAAGGCTTTGTACGTTACTCTGTTTCATGAGGTCTGCTCTGTACTCCAGGTGTATGCAGTCTGGTGCAGCCTTCTTTCCTGTTGCTCTTTTAGGATTAGCTGTATTAAACTAATTTTTGCATTATATGTGGTTTTAGGAGGAGTTCTCTGTCTCACCTCTCATGCCAAGATCTTGAATCTCCGAGTGTTTATTTCTTCAATAAAATAACCTACAGAGGTTACATACTTACTTCAATGATCATGTGAAAGTCATTACTGAAACTTCTGTTTCGAATCTACCCCTGAAATGCTGGTAACATTCTTCTGAAGTGCTCCAGTGGTACCAGACCTACATCCTTTCAGACTGATGTTTAGAATGCTTCAACCCCTGCAGGTTTTTCAAAATCTAATTTCTAAAAACTGTATTACAAAACAACAGAAAGTAACTGTCTAGTATTATAATGTAAACTACCTGCAAAAAATAACATTCAATTTTATTATTTAAATTGTGGCACAATCATGGCTAAATGTTGATATAATAATAGCCACTCTATGTGCTAGGTACTGTTCTAATGCGTTTAACTTTTTATCTTTCAATAACCCTGCAGGGTTGCTCTGATTAGTATGCTCACTTTACAAAAAAGAAAACCCAGGCTAAAAGAGGTTAAATAACCTGTTAAAAATAACATAGCTAGAGATGGAGCTGATGTTCAAACCTTGGCAGTTCAGAGCCCACAGTGTTAACTATTATGCTTGTAATCTCGCTACTTTTTAGTCACTCTCTTTCTAACACATATACTGAATATTCTAATGTAAAACTAAATGAAATTCCCTACAGACTAGCCATATCCAGTTTTTTTCTTACAAATAGTCAAAAAAATGCAAATCAAAACAATAAAGTACTCCTTTTTCACCTATGAAATTAAAGATATGTTGGTAAAGACACTGCTACACAGTAGAAATTTAGCTGATAAAACCTTGAGAGGTATAATTAATTCTTATGAGCATTCACTTTAGAGCCATACTGCCTGCACTAGGATCCTAGTTCTGCCATTTACAAGTACAGTGACCTTAAGCAAATTACTTCCCTTCTCAAGGCCTCATTTGTAAAACAGTTGATTATAGTATTCTACAGTTGTACAAATTAAAGAGTTTACACATGCAAAGCACAGAGAGCAGCGTGTAGCACACAATAAGCATTTAGTAAGTGTTAGCTATTTTTATTCCTACCTTTCCAGAGTTCAATTTGATAATATGTATCAATTATGTTTAGCCCAGTAATTCCATAATCATGATGTGTTTAAATATTTATGTGCCCAGTCAGTTGCATTACTTATAAGAGGAAATATGGATTCACTGGCATCAATCAAAATACCTATGTAAGGGACATAGTTAAGCAAACTGAGGGCATTACACATAAAAATTATGTTTTTGACATATTTAATATGGAAATACATGTACTGTTTTTTAAAAGGCAATAGGCAAAATCATATAGTATGTCAATTTTACTGTGTTCATCTGAGTATGAAACATTAAAAGCAAATACATCAAGTTAATATTATTCCCAAGTGGTAGGGTTACAGGTGATTTCTATCTCATTTATAAATTTATTTATTTATTAGGTTTTCTATCATGAATATGCATCTTTAGAAAAGCCCTAGAATGAATTTTTGCTTTGACAGACTATGATTGAATAGTTTTCACAATAACAGACACTAACTGTAATTTATATTTCGTCTCATTGGTTTTTTTACTAGTAACACCTTTAACTTTTGTGCTGACTTTGTAAGTACAATTACTTTAAAAGTTGCATTTAAAACAATTGTCCAGTAACTTGTATGAAAATCTAACAATACCACTAAAGAACATCCAAATAATCTTGAATGAAAGTAACAGTAAAAACTTATCCCTAAGTTCTCCCTGTTTATGATACAGAGGGAAGGCCTATTACTGTTCCTCGTCTCAACTGTATAACCTTCCTGAACAAGAGAAATGCTATTATTACTTAGCTACATTTAATGAATAACATACAAATGAAGATTTCTCTATTTTGTTTAAATGAATCGACCACATGACTAATGTATTATATAAAAGAACAAATTCTCATATTGTGTTCTATACTACTAAAATTGTTACAAATTCAATATTGGTACTAATAATTTTCCAGGCTCCCCAGAACTGCTATCTAGGAAGATAATGCAAAATGAACGCATTTATGAAACTAATTTATGATTCTATTTTTCACCTTCTAAAAACCAGGGAGGTACTAATAGCTACAACACAACTGGCAATCCCACAACTATTCAACAGAATAAAAATCAGTCCAAGTATAAGCAACACTTTAATTCATCTACTAAACCTTACTCCATAATTTCTCTGTAAGAAATAGGGAATAAAAAACAAACTTAACAGTTAATTACCTGCCCTGCATGATTTGCCAGACTAATATTCAGCTTTCCTGTATGCATGGTCCAGGTAGTTGTAGGCAACAATTACTTTCCCTAAGGAAGAGAAACCTATTATGAAGATCAAAAAGCTGTTCCCCCAAATCTGGCAAATTTTACAGTAGCTCAGAAAAACAGAAACAAAAACATTAAAAACATTAACTGTCCCCATTTGTCACTGAACTTTGTGTTCTTAAGTATATCACAAATAACCTTAAAACTCATCTCTTTTGAACATCAGGTGCTTAGTGGGTTCCATGTACCTGTAACTTCCACATCATTCACCATCCACACCACACAGGGCTCTGTGAAGCTCACCTATAATTATGGAGTGGACATCACGACCAGAGATTCTGTCGGATTTAGCATGCTTCTATAAACTAGTAAGTGAAGCCATTTCCAAATCACACTCTAAAGACAGTAACTTTCATAATGTCTCCTAAACTCCGAAGGCTAAGCCAAGAAAGGCAAATCAGAGGAGAGGCCAGCATTTCCATTCAAACATACCTCCTCCAATCCAATCAAGTTTCTCAAGCCAAAGTGGGCAAAACTCTGGAAAGTACAGATGGTGAGGAATAGCTTTTCAAAGATAAGACAAAAGATTCATCTGAAAGCAACTAATCCTACATAGTGGAACAAAGGCTCAGGAGTAAGACACATGGAAACAGCGAGGAAAGAAGAACGGGAACTTCTTGGGGGGAGCATTCTTTGGTCCAAATCCATCGTTTCCAGGAATTTTACCTGAAGCATCCTTCCTTTAAAAAGTTCTGTGGCCCTTGCTGTTATTGTGGGTACCAAAAAAAAAGCAAGATATGAAATGACATATATTTTGTGCACTGCAGGAAAGCTTACAAACTGGGACAAACTTTTCCTTCATTAACGATTTATAAATTGTTCCTTATTTATAAGGAACAGAGAGTTCCTTATTGTTTTTCCATCTTGAAAACAACCAATTTCTCTTGAGATCTTATGAAAAGGTCTACTTAAAATGCCAATTGTATATAAACTGGAATGACATAACTGACTTGTGAATGAACAACAATGAATGCACACTTAAAATATGCATTCAAGATGGTAAAAATAGAACCTGATTTTACTGATAGGACTGTATTGGAAGTAGGCTTACAAATATACAAAATATCCTGTGAGTTCATTTACCTATTTTCAGTGAAAAAAAAATTCCAAAACCCATTTTTCTACTTTTATGTATCAATTTTACAAAACAGAATCTGAAACAAGCACTTGAGACCTTTGGTTAAACTACAGTTTCCTTTAAATTAAAGTAACTATATATCCAAATAGTAATGTAGAATAAAATAGTTGTAAATATATACATATGTATACACATAAGCAGTGTTTTTTCACGTAATACTATGAATTTACTACTTTTGACTAGCAATCCAAGCAGACTATAGTTATATAAAAGATTGCTAACCTGGAAGAAAAGAAGATTTCAAAGAGCTGTTAAGTTCTCAAACATTTACCAAAGGATAAGTCAGTGAAATACCACACCACTGAGGCATATCTCTATCCTTAATAAAGGCTCAAAGAACTGACTTTAAAATATATTTAAAAATTAATGGTTCTTTTTAGTAGGAACTACTTATGAGTGATGAAACAGTTAAACCATGAAAAATTCTTACACTTTCAAAAATTAGCAGATAATAACTGCTGACTATCAAACACTAGTCACTGACGAACATCTAATTACAGGATTTCAGAAAAACAGAGGACAAGTTATAGACAGAAAGGGTCCAAATTACAACTATAATGCTACTTAAAAAGAAATCACTTTAATACTATGTCTAACCTATCACATATTATTATTCTCTTCAGATAAAGGATTAATAAAATTCTCTCCCACCCTGTCCTCCCAACAATACAAAATTCAGAAAGCAGGGATCTTAGCCTTTCAAGCTATGCTGATAAATCCCAAGCCGCCAGGATAGTTGGTGCCTAGCACCCAGTACTCAGTACTTGTTGAATGAAGGAAGGAATGGGAACAGGTAGGAACAGGCAACTCTGAAGAGATTAGAGACTTGATCACACACAGATAAAGGTTCAACTGGCTAATCAGAGTATTAACATAAGTTAAGTTGATGTCAAATGTGAGCTCTTCTACATTTTAGTAAAAGTCTAATGTAGAACTCAGACTTCAATTGCAAATTTTTCCTAGAAAACTTGTATAAAACTAATGCTATTAAGTTCAATACTGCTTTTCTGTCAGCATTTCTCATTTCAGTTTCTCGCATTTATTTAGAAAGTAGCTTCAAAATTTTAAAATCCCTTTAATTAGTATCAAAACGCTTAATTCTCCTGAGTACACCCTACCTTTACTTACACAAAGCCAGAAGTTCCTACACACTGATATTAATATTTACATTGCTACAATTTCAAAATTTTGCATCAAGTATATTCTTTAACATTTTTATGAACTCAGAGGTCCTCAAGCTCTCTGGGTCGTGTCTCAAGTAAGGACATCAGAATGTCTTTCCCCACTGCAAACGACCCTTTAGAAAAAAAGCATGCTTAAAAAGCTGAGTACAAACTCCCTTTTTCCCCTCTCACACAATGTGTTTATGATTCTAAGAAACTCAAGATCTTTCTCTGGTTTTGTTTTACAATCTTCTGTTCAATTGGTAGTTGTCTATCTTGACGTATACCTGATACTGTACAACTTGAGCAAGTATGTCCAGTTTGTTAACAACAGTACATTTTAACTGGTTGCCATTGGCTATCCGAATCAGATTATGACATCCAAAATTATACCCTCTGTACTACACACAGCAAGCATATGAACATACTGCTGAGAAAGTTTCTAAACAGAATGTTTCCTGTCACTAAACCTGTCACTAAGTTCATTCTTTTGGGCTGAGAAATAGAGAACGAATTGTCTGATTTGTTTTCTCTGGCTTCCCCGTGACCCTCCTATGAGTGAGGAACCAATTCCTGCACAAGAGTTTGTAAAGTGCTCTGGAAGATCGTGGATTAAAGATGCTATAAATAATAAACCTGATGCTACTACTATATTACTACTGAGCATTATGTGGAACCACTGTCACTGCATCGGGGGTAGGTTGATGGTATAGCCCTTCCTAAGGAGGGAAGAGGCAAGGACAGTTCTCTTCATCATACTAAAGGTTTGGCTGGCCATCTTCCAGGCTGTTATTTTTTAAACTACAGCGAAACCGCACGTGAGAAGTTACACACATGCCCCTACAAGGACGACTTCGGCAACCCCGATCCCTGCAGGCCCGGGAGTCCCAGGAACCCAGCGTGGAGAGCGGTGCTAAAGGTTGGGCCTACACCCTGGCAACGTGGGAGGTTCTGGGACCTGCAAAAGGGCCCCGGGCACAGCCGACGCCAGCGGGGTGGCTGGAGGCGCAGCTCGGAGGCGGGGGCGCGGGACACGGCCCCGAAGGCCGGCCGCGCTGCGGTCCCGCGCCTCCCCGTTGCCGGGAAGGCTCTCGGCCCCGCGGCCGGCGGCGTGGGGGAGGGGAGGCCAGGCCCGAGGCCTGCTGGGGGCGCTCGGCCCGGGCCTCGCGTGCCGCTCCCGACTGGGCCCCGGGCCCCGGCGTCCCAAGCGCGGAGGAGAGACTCACCGGAAAGGCCCGGATCCGCATCTTGGTGTCCTTCCGGCTGCCCGTGCCTTTGCTCAGATTCGACATGGTGCTCGTCCCCTCCCCGGCGGCGGCTTCGGGTCGCGCTCCGAGCCGCCGGTGTCACATTTAAGGCGGGCGGGCAGGCGAGGGGAGACGCTGGGGGCGGCGGCGGCGCGGCCCCCGGCAGGGCTGGGGGGGCTGGCCGGCCCCTGGGCGGCCGCGGCGGGGGCAGCTGCGGCTCGGGCCCCGGTAGCGCGGGCTCGCCTGGGGGTGCTGCGCTGGCGCGGCGGCTCCGCGGGGGCCCCCTCGCTCCCGGCTCGGCTCCCTTTATCGCGCTTCTCCGCGATGGCGGCGGCGGCGGCGACGGACAAACATCTCACTGCGCAGGCCAAACGTCCTCCTCCTCCTCCTCCTCCTCCTCCTTCTCCTCCTCCGCCTCGGAGAGACGAGATCCGGCCCAGAGGGTGGAGGGGGGAGGAGGGAGGGAGGAAAGCCGGAGAGTGGAGAGATTGGGGAGAGGGGGGGTGGGAAGACGGGACGGGGGCGGGCGGCCGCGGCGGGGAGCTCAGATCTCGCGAGATGACGGAAGCGCGCTGTCCCGGGTGGGGCGGGGCGAAGCCGAGGAACGGCAGGGGCAACAGGAGGGGAGGAGGGGAACGGGGAGTTGAGGAAGTGGGAGGGGCCAGAGGGGCGGGAGGTGGAAAAGGGGCGGGGCTAAGGGGGGAGGAATAAGCTGTTTTTTTGAAAGGGAAACTTCGGGGACCAGCTGGGCGGAGGTGGTTGCTGATTGGTTCAGGCGGGAGGGGGTTCTGGACACGTGGGCGGAGTGGGCGGGGGATCTCTGGGGAGTCAGTATTGGACCTTAGTGGGCTGGGACTCATCTGGGCTGGGCTGGGCTGGGCTAGGGCGGGAAGATGATAGTCGTGGGGAGGAGCGTGGGGTGTGAGGTGAATAGCCAAGTACTAGAACTGGTTCCTATGTTTTTCTGGGGCATGTGGACCAGGGATGGGTTCTTGAGTAGAAGCCCAGGAGTTGAAAGAACAGTTTTGGCAGGAGTTACTTGCAGTGTCAGGAATTAGGGTCCTGTATGCTTAACAAGGTATTTGGGTTGGATGTGCATTCTACAACTCTTCAGGACCTAGGGGTGGAGATGTTAATCCACAAAATTTCCTTAAACAGAAGCTTCAGGACTTCACTGATTCACTGATATTTTCGGGGGAACCCATGACTTACTAGTGTTAAAATCTCTTTTTCGTACCGTTGAAATAAAATAATTCCCTTAACGTAGTGCAATATTTTGGTAAATGGTGTTAAGGAGAAGATAGAATGATAGAAATCTGTCTTCGGCCTGACAGATCATTTTTTACCATTACCAACAGTATTGTAGGTTTTGAAAGCCAAATTATTGTCTTTGAGTCCAGTCCGCTGTGACTTTAGAAGATGTTTTTTGTTTTGTTTTGTTTTGTTTTGGTCGTTGTAGTCAAAAGGTCTAGTTTGATTCATCAGTTTTGCATATTGTTGTTAGGGATTTTACTTCTTAATTTACCTCTTCCTCCAATTGATGTACTTGAATTTCTGACTTTGCCGATAAATATGTAAATTTCCACTAAAGTTTGTGATATTTTAAATAACCTGTTGTTGGGATGGGTATCTACATTTGGAAGCTCAGGTTTTAATACTTTTTAAAATACCTTTTTTAAAGCTGAGGTGTTAATCATTTTTGCGGTATTTGGAAGTTGAGGAGTTTGATGTTATTCAAATAAGTAAACAGAAAATATACTTTTTCTTTACTGTGAGGTTAAATTTGCCTTAACTGTATCCTGATGACTAAATTTACCAGTGTTGTGCTTTCATCCCTTACTTGGTTGAAATGTCTCATTAGAAATATATTATCTTGTCTTGTTTTCTGGTATTTGCTAATCAATAACACCAGTTTAAGGAACAAGGCAGTTGCTTGAAGCAAAATATCTATGTAAATATTGAAGCTAAAAATAGGTCATCAAGAACTGGGTTGATACTATTGGGAAGGGCTCTGATTTAAATATAAGATAAGAGGCTTGGATAGCAGTTTATAATCCATATGCTGATTGAACCTCCATTTCCACAATCATTAGAATATACTAACAACCAACATTTTTCTATTGTTTGTACTGTCCTATGGCCCAGTTTCTTGGTAATTAAGATATGTTCTGGAGCCATTTTACTAGCTGTATTCTGTCTTTGGGGGCAAGATCTTGACTGTGACTAGCATTTCTCAGCTGTAAAATGGGGATAAAAATAATACTTCCTCCTTGGGCTACTATGAAATTTAGGTGATTAATACATTGTAGAAAGCCCTGTTAGCCGTGCTCAACACAAGAGTAGCCACTCAATACCTGTTGGCTCTAATTATCATGAGAAATTAAGGCCACATTTATACTATCTTCCTTTATCTAGTATGTCAGCTTCAAAAAAAAGTAATCATGTGCTTTTGTAAAATGAATCTTACGTTACAACTGAGCTAGTCTCCAACACTTGAATTTCACAAACCAATAAAATATTTTTCCAAAAACTGGGAATCCGGTAAGGGTTGGCAACTTTATTTGGCAAGTATGGGCATTAAAAAAGAGTAAGTATTAACATAAAAATAGCCGTTGTTTTATTTTTATTTTTTAAAGTGTTTTAACCACAGAAAGGGGAAGAGGTCAATTTTTGAGTAAAGGATAGTTTTTCAAACTGAAAAATAATACATTGAGCCAATTTTTCTCACTTCAATGTGAACTTGAGAAAACATGGGCCAGCATTTAGGAACTCACTAAAGTATGAAAGTGTTTCCATGTAATTATGAACCATGTAAGCACCCTTTAATTTGTATTAAAGTATTTGTACTGTGAACCCAGATTTTCATCTGTTGGTTTTGCTTAAGCAAAATGTAGCTGCATTTAAATGAATTGCTATCAACTGTGTCTTTCATTAGGCTTTTATCCACAAAGACCCAGAATAACTCTTCACAATTAATTTGTATACCATTGCTATTAAGAAATCTGATCATCTATTTGTTCATTCATTCATTTGAGAAATATTCAAGAAAATAATTTGATGGCTGCCAAATGTCAGACACTAAGGGGAATAAAACTAATGAGACCTATCATCACAGAATATATAGTCCTTTATCACATCTCAAAATTTGGAAGCCACAGACTGAAGTTCGATTTGACAACAACTTGGCATACCCTCCAGTTCAGAAATCAGAGGTCTTTCTTCCTAGGAAATCAGCATCCTCAAAATGTACATGAAATACTCTTTGAAGCAGTGCTAGACTATTCTTTTGGTGTTCCCTGACTTGCATATAGCAAATGAACTTTCAGGATATTAGTTTCTCTGTCAACCTGATCTAACAGAGAAAGCAGTGCTAGAAGAGGAACTCACTAGATGTTCCATGCCTGTGGTTGGCATTCCTACTTATGACCATGTCCTGACACTGAACTGTGGCCCCTACAAAGACTTAGGGAAAGAGGTATGTTTTTCAAACTGGAGAGGGAAGATTTAGTGGTATTATCATCTCCTTGAAAGTAAGGGCTAGATCTGCTTTTTTCCTTGTCTCCACCAGGCAACTAGTAAGTGTGGTAGTCCATTAGATCAGTACATATTTAGAGTAGTAGCATTCATATGTGCTTTATAAGATGACGTTATATAGGAGTAGCCCATTGAAAACATAACCATGAAAACTTAACGTATATAAAAACTATAGGTCTTTTCCATGTACCTTTCCTACTTCATCCTTACTATTTTCCTTATATATGTCATTGAGACAAGAAGCCTATAAGACATAGAAGCATATGAAGCAAGTTACATCTTGAATTAAAAAATTTAAATATGTTTTATCATAATACCCATCTCATTGTCATTGTTTTTCATCACATTGTCCTGCCAAACAAAATAATCTCTATGGTAGCTCTGGAAACTCTAGTTGGCCTGCAAAGTGTTGTGTTTATTCCACATTTGTCCAGTAAATTAATATTTTGGAAATTAAAATATCTATATATAACCAACTCATCTGATTTAACAGAATTGAGATTAAATTCTTGATTAAAAATCATAGACAGGTATATAATTTTGTGATTTTATTTTGAAGCAAAGGACTTCAAAGAAAATGTATTTCCTTGTATTGATAAGAGTAACTGTATCAGGAAATCTCCAGGGGACAGACAATTACAAATATGTATTGCTTTCATTCATGACAAGGAAAGTATATGTTGAAATTCCTAACTCCCCAGCTCCATCAACTTGTGAAGTATGTTAATTTTGGGGTTGAGATAAAGCACAGTTCCAAAGAGCTACAGAAGTAAATAGTCTAAATTTTATGCTAGATTTCGTAATTGTCTGAATTATGAAAACAACAGTCAGCAAATATAATAACTCTGTCTTTAAACTCCTTCAGTAATCTATTTGTCTTTAGCTCACAGTAAAACTGTATTCTTTATTCTTATATATTGAACTAGTAAAAATCAAAATCTGAGTAAAGCAAAAGAATGCTGGTAGAGGTGAAGTATAAGCTTTATGAGACTAAAAAATAAGAAAAACAATTGTTGGAGCGAATTTCTAGCTTCAAATTGATAAAATGAATTAATTTCTACAAGTAAGTTAATTTGAAGTTACCAGTTTCTGAACATTCTAGCTCTTGAGTGACCAGCTATTGATTGGGCAGAAGACCCACTGAACGGGCAGTTCTGAGAAAGAGACAAACGGACACTTTGTTCAGATGAAACCAACAACTGTATATCTAACCCATTTACAAACTTTTTAAAGAATTTTCATTAATGAGACCTTGAGAAATGCTACCCCTCTGCTACTGAAATCCTTGTTGAACTGTCTCTGCATGAACCTGTATTTTGGGGAATAGTTGCTTTCGATGTTTGGATTATTAAGGTGCTTCCACATTCCTTTAATTATTATAGGCACATTTGTCCATTTTAAGGGGTGGGGGTGCTTCCTATTCAAAGTCTAATTTCTTGTTTTAAAAGATTTAAAGGATTCACCCATTGGGTGTGGTTTGGGTGGGTAGTGGTGTCCCCTTCCTATCACAATAGCCATAGGGGCCTGGTCCTTCCTCTGCACTCCCCAGATCAGCAGGGAGATGTATAGCATTGACTTAGGCAGTCTGACCCTTTCCCAGAAACGCTTACAGAGGAGAATGAAGAACACAGGGATAATTGGTGGACATGCAAGTACTAGCAGCAGGTGGCCTAATACTCTTCCCACTGAAGGACTTCAGCCGTCATTTCCTGCTCTTCAGCTTTCCAGTCATTCATCCCCTGTATGTTCTCCAACACTGTTGCTTCTATCTCCCCTCATTTCTGACACTCCAAACATGCCTTCTCTGCATTCCATTTTTGCTTAAAGTAGTCAAAATGAATATCCGTTGTGTATCATCAGGGTCCTGGCAGGAAACAGATGGCTCACTCAAACAGGGAAATTGAGGCGAGTTTAATTCAGGGACTATTTACAGAAGTGTGGGCC